CAACCGGTTCTCTGAACCTCTTAGAAAGTTAAGAACCGGTTCTCCTGGATAGGTGCGAACTGGCTGAATCCCACCACTAGTGCAAGGGAAACCTTTACCTTTACTTTAAGACAATCACTTATCTGAAATAGTATAGGTTCTCCTGCATGGGGATGAACTAGAAGACCTCCAAAGTCCCTTCCAGCTCATTCATTCTATAGCTAAAAGATCAGCCAACGGCTGCGTAGTGTAACAAATATACTTGCTGCAGATCAAGAAATAAAGGGCAAACTTCCCAAACATTTGTATCAAACCCGGAATTCAAGAGACAAACCGCCCCCCCCAAAACCAGATCATCAAGAGTATGAGACCATCCCAATTTGCAAATGCATAATTTTGAGCAAGTTTTTCGAGCCCCTCATCGCCGTCTCTTTTTAACAGCCATTCCAAAGATCTGGTAAAGATCTGAAAAAAAATTCTCAGGTGTCCTTGAAGGAAAACCTGCCTCCCTGACATCCTTCCTTAGAGGAATGACTGATAGCAATCGGCATGATTGTTTTCCAGCAGGTGAAACATTTTTATTTTTACCGTAATATTAGTTGGACATGCATTTCCAGAAAGAAGATATAAATGCGTTTGCCCCCCCCCCCCGCACTCCCGGCACAAATATCGGCGGTGTTAAGAAATGTTATATTACCCACTTGGACGTAGAAGTGTAGGTGGCACAGAGCAGAGAGTCTGCTTTGCTTACAAATCAGCCGGGTGATGAGGTTGCAAAAGTTTATATTTTCCCCGCTTTCATTGGTAGAATTTATTAGCTTCTTGGAATTGATTCTGGATGCCTTTCATTTGCCATTGGGCTAAAGTCACGAACAAAATGATGATATACCGCGTTTTTGCTCACTCATCTTTTTATTGCCTAACTATTGTTATTGAGTAAAAGGCATTCAATATATTTCACAAAAAGAGGCACAGAGCAAAGGGGGAGAGGGGGAGAGGAGCAAGAAGGGGAAATGGCTCGTTATCTCTTCCTCCCCTCCTCGTTTTAATTGACATTGGTTTCTCTCACTACTAGGCTGGCTGGCTGGCCATACCCAGGAGTGGGCTGCTACGGGTTTGCCCAGGTTCGGAACCTGTAGCTAACGTTCTGGCTGGTTCGGAGAACCTCCAAATCCCACCCCTGGCTGGCCCCACTCACACTGCCCCCTCCCCTCCCAGGAGACTCCACGTGGCCCGTTTTGGATGCAAGATACATGCAGGGCCTGTGAGGAGGCTCAGGGAGGGGAAAAACAGGCCGCCTGGAAGGCCTATGGAGCCCAGAGATGGCAGTTTTCGCCCTTCCAGAGGCTCGAGGAAAGCCTACAGAGCCTGGGGAAGGCGAAAACACACATACACACACCCGCCATGGTGCAGGAGGCAGACTAGGCCACGCCCACCATAGCCACGCCCACCCAGCTACCAGGCAGCGAACCCATTGCTGAAATTTTGGATGCCCACCCCTGCATAGGGCAAAGATAGCGCCTGGGAGTAGCATAGGGTCCCTTGAGAAGATTTGTAGCTCAGGGTTGAGCGGTGGGGTCCTTGGTGCTCT